CACCCCGGGCCGCCGCAGCTCCGCCCGCCGGTCCCGGTGCCCCCCGGGCCCCCCGCGCTGCCGGTTCCGGTTCGTCCCCCCGGGCAGGGCTGGGGCAGCCGCTCCCCTCGCGCTCGTACTGCAACTGCGGTTTCCCTCGCAGAGGTTTTGTTTCTCCTCTGTGACTTTTTCTGCTGCTTTTTCGTTGTTGTTGTTGCCTCTTTTTTTTTTTTTTCCTCTCCATGAGGCCAAATAACATCAACTGCGCTTTCCCACGGTGCCGGGTGCAGCTCCCAGCCCCGCACCGGCCCCGCAGGAGCTGGCCCTGCCACTTGCTGTCCCCTGCCCCCGTGGCATCTGTCACCGCGCTTGGCAACAGCTGTTTACACCAGATCTCTTAAAGTTCAACTTGATTTAATGATCGGCAAGGTCTGTGGACAGGCTCCTTAAGCATGAAGTGACCACAGTGGGTGGCCCAGGTCTGTCCTCAGAGCGGGCTGGCTGTCTGGGAGCTGGTGTCTGGGGAAACGTGGGGATGGGGTGGAGCTCCTGTGAGCTTGGGGTTTTGGCAGTGTGATGTCAGTCAAAGAGGGGAGATCAGGGAGGGCGACCATGTGGCAGGGTGGGCAGAGCTGGGCTGGCTTTGCCCCCCTGGGGCAGTCTTCTTGGTCTGAAGAGGCTCAGCCTGGGAGCAGAGGGAGGTGAAGCTCAGAGTAGGGGAAACTGCAATCCTTCAGCCTTGCTGCATCCCCTGCCAGGGCAGTGCCCAGCAACTGGGGTTGGGTCGGGGCTTTTGGGGGTTGGTTTGTTTTGTTTTGCGTGATGTGGAATTAATTCCATGTGGCAGATAACAGAACATTTGCAATGACTGTCAAAAGACATCACTTTGCATTTTGGGACATTACTATGATTTACATTAATTAATATTAATATGGCTTTAACCATAATGATTCTGTGGAGATCAGCACTCGTTAATGGTGCCAAATCTGTAAGTGAGGCAACCAGGGCTGGAGTGATGGGGCTGCTTAATCCAGCCAGGGCTCTTAGTGCAACTGCTCATTGCAGCTATGGGAGGTAAAGGGCTGGTGTGTGGCCACAATCTGGGGGTGAGAACCCTGTATCCTTATTCCTCCTCCATTGGACTCAAAATGCTGCAAGGGTGGAGTTTGTGCCTTTGCTTTGATCATCCCAGTGCATTGGGTCTGTCACAAGTCTGTCGTCCTTTAATGTGTGTTTTGTGGGTGGTGGGAACTGCCCTTGGGGCAGAGCCTGGACATGGGGAGTGTCCTGCTCAGCTCCCAGCTCACCTCTGCCATTCCAGGTGAGGAGGCAGCAGCTCTCCATTGCTCATCACCAGGAAACAGCTGGGGGGGGGGTGTTTTACTTGCCACTTTGTGTTAAATTTTGGTTGATGTGTTCTGGACAAGCCTGTCTGTGGTGATGGTTGTGTCAGCCTGACCAATGGCTCCTCCAAAGGAGGTGCTGGGGCCGGGTGTGGGGCAGCCCCAGGGACACCCCTCCTGTGCTGCAGTAACACTCCTCTGCTCTCTCCCCAGGATCGACAAGACAATGCTCGCCAGCCTGAAGATCAAGTGAGTACCTGCGCTCCCGGGGAGGTGGCAGTGTCCCTGTCCCAGCACCCAGCAGTGGGTCACACCCCACATCAGGCCCTGTAGCCATTGCCAGCTCAGGCTTTGCCCCTGCAGCTCAGTGCAGGGTTTTCCATCAGAAGCAGGCACATGGCTCTGGTGCTGTTGGTGTAACTGTGGCCCAATATAGAAATGTTCTGGCCAAGGCTCCCTTGAGCTCAGGGGAACGTGTGCAGGTAATGGCTCATGTGGTTTCCCTCTCTAATCATTACTTGTGCAAATTATTCATTAATGGCAAAGTGCATGGAAAGCCTTGGGGGAACCTGCCCAAATGAGCCTACAAATGCCTGTTGTAAATAGCACAACAGAAACGTTGTTGCTACACTCATGGCTCAGGTTTTTGCTGAACTAACAAGTTTAAATCGATGTTCACTGCTTTTGGGAGTAGAGGGAGATCTCAGTAGACTTTCCTGTTCCTGTGGAGCTGAGGATTTAACTGCTTCTTGCACACTGTTGTATGCTCTGCCCTGGTTTTTCCAGGGCCCATGCAGCAGTTTGTTCCATGAGCATCCACAGGAGTTGTTCTATCTGCACTACTTGTAGCTAATGCTTTCCAAAGCCTCATAAAGCTTCTGCTTTGTGGACAGATTGCTTCGTTAAATGGATCTGTAATTGGGGCCCAGCCAGAACACATTAGGTATTTGTAAAAGCTTTTAAAATAAGAAAAAAAATAAAGTAAAACTGATTTTTAATTTTTCTAACGCCCTCTTACTATTGCAGCAGCCTTCTGGTGAAGGTACCAGGCGTAGGCAATTTTCTTTTTCTGTGTAACTTGTTAACAATAAGACAAGCTGCTTTCTGCAAGCCAAGGAGCCCTTCGTGGAGGCTTGTGTGTGCTGCAAACATCAATATTGACTTGCAGAAACCTGGCACGGAGGAGGAGAGCAGAGAGGGGGCTGCAGCCCCGGGTGTGTGGCTGCAGAGAGGCCCCAGGTGGCTTCAGGAGCCCCTGCCCAAGCCAGCCCTGGGTCACCCCTCTGTTCTGGGGAGCAGTGGGCTGTGTGTCCTAGAGTGCCCTCAGGGCAAGGGCACAGGCTGGGTCCTGGCATTTGGTGACACCAGGAGAGGTGCTGGCTGGGGATGCTCCCCTGGTGCTGCTCTGGTCACTCATAATGAACTGGCACACACAGGTGGCACTGAACATTAGAGCAGTTTTCCCTGGGTCTGTCTCTCCTTTTTGTTTTTTAATTTGGGTTTCATTAGTTCCTATGGTAACAGTGAATATGTCTGAGGGCCTCGGGGCTGCAGGCAGTGAGTAGACACTGCAGGGTGAGGGTGTCAGGGAGGGCTGGTGGGTAGGGACCCCTGGTCCCATGGCTGGGGGGCTTGGCTGGCCCCCTCAGTTCTCTTGGGTATCACCAGTGGAACGTACCAAGAAACCAGAGTATTTCAAACAAAACACACAACAAAAACCAATAACAATTAAGTTCCTCCTTCAGGCGAAGTCACCCCTTGCTTTAGCCTTAAACTGCAAAAATAGCAATGAAATAGTCAAGCTTCTGTGGAACAGAGGAGCCTTGTACACCAGTCACTGAGAGCTGGTGTGTGTACAGCTAGAATTCACATGGAAGTGCTTGTGATGCTCATCTGGTGATGGGAATGGTGGTGGAAGATAACGGTGGGAAGAGAGAGATGAAAGATTTACTTGACCTTTGTAAATTGAGCTGTGTCCAGGCTTGAGGCTCTTCAATATTTGATGGGCCAGAGCTGAGTTAATGGGAAGATGTGGGAATGATTTATCTGCTTGGTGGTAGCTGAGCTGACTATTGTAATAATCTGGGAGGTTTGTGCCTAGGTCCTGTGAGGACAAGGTCTGGGGAGCAGATTGTGTCTAAGTACATTCCTTTGGTTTTATTACCACCTTTTAAAATGGATAATTGCATGCAACTGTATGTTTTGCAATTATAGTTCAGCTGTAGTAGTGTGTGCACTGCAAGTGCCAAGCGTGGTCAGCAGCAAGTCTGGGGCTTGGAGCTTCCCTGGGGTTTGCCAGTGCCAGATCTCAGTCCCTCACTGATCCAGTGATGGGGTTGTTTTTTCTGGGGTGTGGAGGTTTTGTTGTTGTACTTTTGAAAAAATAAAAATAATCTCCCCTCTGCCCGGGTTCAGGTGTGTATACAGACCCAGGTGGCAAGATTTGATCCCTCCTCTTCTGAGAGGAGGACAAGATGGGCATGTGTCAGAGCATTTCCAAGACCCCCTGCAGTCAGAGGTGGTGGTGGCTGTTGTGTGGGACCAGCCCGGGCTGCTCAGTGGCTTTGCCGGGCCGGGGCTGTGGGGCTTCTCTGCGGGTCCCCCCGGTGCTTCCCCGGCTGGAACCGCTTCCCGGCCGCGCCGGCAGTCGGCACACGAGTGTTGGCTTTGCTGCTGCTGGTTCCCGCTGTGCCAGGATCAAAGCCAGGGATCCTGCTCCGGCTGGAGATCCTCAGCACGAGCAGGGAGATGCGGGAATTTGGAAGGAGGGATGTAAAACCCAGTGACAGCGCGCGGTGTGTGTGTGAATCCCCAGCCCGTTCTCAGTGCTGCAGGTAACCTCTGTTTTCTAGAGGTGAAAAACAGCCGGGGAGGTGGGAGCCTCGAGGACACCCTGTTCTCTTCATGGGCAGAAATGACTTTCAGCGGGTGCACGAGCTGCTCCTTCGGCTGCAGCACTGTATGGGTCT